ACCTCACATTTTTCTGATACAGCTCAGGACAGCGCCATCATCTGCTGTTTATTTATGGAGGTGAGTTGCAGGGCTCCTGATCGTCATGTTAGCAACAACTCTGCGGTACTTGCAGCCCAGAGACTTTACAAGCCAGGGCAACACAGATTACTCCGAGGACTCGGCTTTACAAGGGGACTTTAGATGGGTTTTTTTTCAACACTTTCACCAACTGAAGGCTGGGTTTCTGTGCATGTAATCAGAATGTGCCGTATAAACAGCAAGGTCCACTAATAAAAGCCGCAGCTGTCTGGCCTTCACAAAACATCACAACTGCTTTCGTTCAGCTCGGGAATGCCTAATGAAGCGGGCTTTTTTATTGTCATGTCCAGGGAATAATCATGTTGTTTTATAGGGAAGCATGAGAAGATGGATTGTGTGAGTGTTTATTTCTCTGCTGGTTTTCTTTGTGAATTTGAGTGTCTTGATTTGCGTGTCTTTTTCTCCCCACTGCGAGGGCTTTGCTCCACACCTGTCTGTGGAAGAGATATAAATTGTGCATTGATTGCTTGTTGCTGGAGCATATATGCCGCCTCTCTGTGTCAAAAACAATGTTATCTTCATATCTCTTTGCTAGGGCCAAATGTGGCTCTGAACATTGTGGACACCCCCATAAAAGATTTGATGAGACATGTGATTTTCCTAAGCTATAAAGGTGAAGTAGATGAGGTAGATCAAATATAACTATGATGCCAACATCAAACCTGAAGGGACAGGTGCAACAACATCAAAATATGGTTCACTAAACATTTAATGCAACAGTTCAGATTTAGTCAAGCTTATCTGAAAATAAGCACGTCTTTATGATTGTAGACAATTCTATCAATGCACGCACAACAAAATTTCATTTTCATAATCTGTATTTTTGTCTTGGTTTTTGGTAAAAATATAAATGTACACAAAAGCACAATTGCATAATATATTAAGACTTTTAATGAGACGTATGCCTTAACATAGTTTAGATTGTGTTCAAGACATTAAGAGTATTTATATGATTTTTCTTGCCATATTGGCATGCATTTATGTATGTATTTAATTATGCAGTTGTGCATGTATGCATTTTATTAATTCATATTTATAAATGTACACATTCATTAATTTATTAACGCATTTGTGTATTTATGTGTATACACATTTATGCATTTATTCATGTATAAATCTGGCCAAAATTAGGTTAGACTAATTCGAATTGGTAACTTCTTTTTGTTCATTATTCATTAAGAGAATCATTTCATAACAGTAACTCTTTTGTGAATCTGGTTACGCTGTTTTGTTTGCAGCCAGCAAAGACAAAACAAAGATGTTTAGTCTATTTATTGTATTTTTATCTCATCATATTAATTTCAGACATTTTGTGTAATATATAATTTCATCAATTCAGAGATGGCGTAGCAACGTCCTGGCAACCACTTGCATTGTGGAGACTAACAAATACCACTCTTATCTACTTCAGACTGTTCTAAGTATCTTATATTATTTGCACAAACTTTAATGTCAATGAAAATCCTGTAAAATTAAATTTTCTTTGCTGTGATGCTGCAGATTGAGCAGTAATGATAGCAGGGAAGGCGGTGCACAGCTTTTGTTACTAAAGAAAATATGATTTTGTTTGATTCAAGGTTCTTTTCTTTCTTTTAGCATGTACTGCGACACTGTTCAAACCCATAAAGTAATTAAACTCTGCTTAGTCATGACACCCTGTGGGTGTGAGTTAAAGCTGTTTGTGTTTAGTACCTTTAATACAGCGGCAATGTTTTCCTGGAAGGTAACTCTAAAACTCTGATTTAGTTACCATATTTTTGATAAGTTACAAAAGCTCTGGGACATTATTTTGCATTTTGTGTTTTTTTTCTTCTTCTTTCTAATCGCCTTGGGGTCAGAACCATGGTGTGTTGTGCATTTGATGAAATCCCATGTTTTCATACCTTTTCCATAAAACATTCTTTCAATTGATTTTTGGTCCAAATATTGGTTCAAATTAGCATAAAACACAGCCCAAGAACGTCTTTAGCAGGATTTGTAAGACGTTTAAGTCAGAAAGAGGCACTTGCGTCTCTTTGTGCACCTTCCTGAGAAGACTGAATAGAAGCCGGTCTGCAAAGCCTAATCGTCTGCAGCTCGTCCAGGTGTGTCATGGTGAGTGTCCTGATTTGATCCATCAGCGTTTTGCTGCAGCGGGTGGTGGACAAAACAGCCAGCTTCATCTGCAAACTGTCAGGCTAGTTGACAACTCTTAACAGCCTGCCCATGCTGTCTGATCGAACTCTTCCTGGTGAACTTTCCTTCTGTCTGGTAATGTTGCTTAAAGGAACAGTTCACCAAAAATGAAAAAATGCTGAAAATGTACTCAACCTCAGGCCATCCAAGATTTTCACACACAGTTTTTCACTTCACAAGACGTTAACTGATGGACTGGAGTGGTGTGGATTATTGTGAGGCTTTTATCAGCTGTTTGGACTCTCATTCTGACGGCACCCATTCACTGCAGAGTATCCATTGGTGAGCAAATGATGGAATGCATTTCTCCAAATCTGATGAAGAAACAAACTACATCTTGGATGGCCTGAGGGTGAGTATATTTTCAGCTAATTTACATTTTTGGGTGAACTATTGCTTTAAACATTTGACTACAACACAAATTTCACCTTATGTGTGACTTCAGCTCCGTCGCAAGTCTGTTTTTGTAAAGGAGACCATGTCGAATGTTATAAATCGACGTAGCTGGCGATTTTGCCCTTGTAATAATGCAATTAAAGGAAGGGTAATTCGTATAAAGGCGGACGTTTCATCCTTCAAATGCCAAACTTGTAATGCAGTTTTAATGGAAAGTCATGCGTAAGAAACATCGGCTTGTCGATTGTTTCTATAATTTAGAGAGAATCATTTGAATTATTGATTAGTGTTCAGAACATGTAATTTGCATAATGTGGACATGTGTCTGTATTTCATGAGCGCGTGTTGCCAGCAGCAATGCTTCATGCTCAGTATAGGCAGTTAGGCCGGCAGCTGCAGAACAGCGTGCTCGTTTTAGAGAACAGCACACACTCACTTAGGCAGAACAAACACTTGGCATGTTGACAACACTGAAATTACATTGTGTCACTCTGCGTACATGGTTCTTGACATTTATCCTCGATTACAACCCAGGTGCTAAACTAGGTGTCAGAGCAGGTGGAAATAAATCTAGTGACAAAAAAATCCAGTCTCCTCCTATATATATATATATATATATATATATATATATATGTGTGTAATATTATTTTTTTTATTTCCATATTTAAAAAACTGCTGAAAAACTTTGTCTAATCAAATTAACTGACATGTTTATTTTCCATAAAATAGTATTAATTTTGAGTTCAAGTATAGGAATTTGGATTGGGGTTTCAGTGCTTAAAAATTTATTTTGCATTGGACACAGTTTCACAAGGTGAAAATTAATGACACCTAAATTGAAAGTTTAAATAACTATGTTAATAGATGCAACACCTTGAGTGAGTCAAATGCAACACCAGCATCCAGCATGACGTGTTAAAAACATTAAATTAATTATATTTTAAGTCTCATTAAAAGGTAAACCTTAGAGTTTTTGCTCGCATGAAATATATCACAATATATATCTCTAAATATACATGTATATTTTTTTTTAGCATACTTAAAACCACCATATAAATGCATATTTTTTCTGTAAATACATAATTTGGGTATATAAATATATATATACATACATAATTTCTGTTAATAAAATACAAAAGTTGCCATAATGTTGTCGTACATGCCAAATATATCACAATATATATATAAATAATAGTAAATAATTTTGTCGTAGTTCATGCCACCATATAAATTATATAAATCCCCGACCAGCACGGTCTCCGCAGACCCTGTCCGGGACAGCAACCTTATGCAGTCTTTACCAACTTTTATACAAGGTCCGAAAGGTGAACCGGGACGCCCAGGGAAAGTGGGGCCGAGGGGCCCTCCCGGTGAACCCGGACCCCCTGGACCTCCCGGAGAGAAGGGGGAACCGGGACGACCTGGATTACCCGGGCAGCCGGGACCAAACATGGCAACGGGTGCCATTGGCGCGGCCTCCTACAGCACCGTGCCCAAAATCGCCTTTTACGCAGGGCTCAAAAAGCAGCACGAGGGCTACGAGCTGTTGAAGTTTGACGACGTGGTCACGAATCTCGGGAATCATTACGACCCGACCACGGGCAAATTTACCTGCTCCATACCGGGAATATACTTCTTTACGTACCATGTGCTCATGCGAGGAGGAGACGGAACCAGCATGTGGGCTGATCTGTGCAAGAACAACCAGGTGAGCGCGCGCAAACACAACCTCACAACTTGAAGCACTAAATAGTCTGCATACGACATAAAACATTTAAAGATTTTAACTAGTGACTTTGTTTTCTTTCTTTTCTCCCTATCTCAAAAATTACACGTGAGAAATTTTCTGTTCAGTTCCAAATGAAGGATTCTTACAGGCATTGCAGCTCATCTGGGTGTGAAATATATGCATTTGAAAACGTTTGAATTCACATGATTATATTTAGATGACCTATATGGATAAAACTCTTTTCCAAGGGGTTGTTGACATATATATACTATGGGATCAAATGATCAGACCATCAAACCATGGGAAAGAAATCAATGATGACAAAGTTACTTGTGACTATTATTTATTATTAAATAGTTATATTTATTAATTCTTCTTGGCAGGATATAATAATAAAAAATATTAATAAATTTTCAATTATTATTATTAACTCATATTAAAAGCCATAATGTTGTCGTACATGCCAAATATATCACAATATATATATAAATAATAGTAAATAATTTTGTCGTAGTTCATGCCACCATATAAATGATATAAATACATTATATACACACACACACAGAAATTATGCATTTACATAATTTATTTAATTCATACATTGCAATAAAACACAAAAGTTGCAATAACATCACCATGCATGCCACTGTTTCATGTCCTGGTGTATCTTAAAGAAACAAATCTGCACTTCTCATTGACACAAAAGGTTTGTGGGTGTGGCCAATATGATCATATATGAACATATATATTTACATATATGTGTTATACATTAAATATTAACATATAGAATTGTTACAATAATATGATAACAATTGTAATATATTTCTTTAGTAAACACTCAGACTAAACTCAATCCTTTCTTGCTGAGTCTCATAAGGGTCTTTAAAGACCTTGAGACCTAATATATATGCATGGAAAGCCTGTATATCATATGCAATTTCTCCATCTGACAGCTGAGCTTCAACATTGCACTAAATGTTCCTCTCCTCCCGCAGGTCCGTGCCAGCGCCATCGCCCAGGACGCAGATCAAAACTACGACTACGCCAGCAACAGCGCTGTTCTTCATCTGGAGCCCGGAGACGAAGTCTACATCAAACTAGACGGGGGTAAAGCCCACCCGGAGACGAAATCTACATCAAACTAGACGGGGGTAAAGCCCACGGGGGCAACAACAACAAGTACAGCACCTTCTCTGGTTTTATTATATACGCCGATTAGGACATATGCACCTACTCCAGACGGTCTATCTCGTCCCCCTCTGCTATTCCTCTTCCTTTCTTTCTTTTTTTTGCATAATTTTCCTTTGGGCCCAGGGCAAGCACCCAGACCTGCTCAAACACCCCTCATCATTAGTCTGTAGATGTGGGCTTGAAGGCAGAACACTTTGCCCTGCAATCCAAAAATCAAGAAAGAACCAAAAAAAAAAAAA